ATGTACTTCACTACCACTTGAACTTTATGTAATCGGATTAAAGATTATATATCATTATAAGCATTAGAAATCGTTTGTATGAGAGCATAGAAAAAGTTGCTCTCAGACTTTTTCGTGCATTTCTTTAAATTGTAGTCTCCTTGGGAACATAGTACTCCCAATTCAAATTGGCGCTCACCAACATATTTTTATATTAATGATAGAATGTTTAAATATCCTATTGCATTTGTTAGTTAGTTGAATGTAGGAACTGAACCCGTGTCTTGAAAAAAAAATTTAAAGCAAAAAAGTAGATCTTTTATCACAATATTAATTATTTATCCGTGATAATATTTGTTTTAAACGCGTGATTCGGTCTTCAATTTAATATTCCACACTTGAAATTCGAACTTCGAATCGTTTTACGAAATTACATTAACTTCCTTTTTAACAGTGATCCAATTTTATTTTATATCTATGAAACATATTTATTTTACACAATGGTTCAACGCTATTTAAAGTCGAGTCAGCTTTTATTGGATAAATGTTTATTTGCATATGCCACGTGGAGAATCATTAAAGAGGTCGTTTATTTAACAGTCATCTGACGTCAAGTGTGTCGAAATAGAATTATTTTGAATCCACGTCACGTAAGTACTAAAATGACACGTGAACGTTGCTGAAATAAATATTTTAATGGTAACAACGTGAACTAAGCGTGAAAGGGTCGGTCGAATACAAAACTTGTCATTCTATATAAGTTATCAGCTGACGCCATACTAGTAATTGTGAAAGAACTTAAGTTCATATCCTGAGGTAGCAAAATAAAGGGCACATAGGAAGTCTCTAAGGATAATTAATCCATAAAACGAACATAATGTTATGATCGTTCTTCTATGAGAGAATTTTGTCTTCTCTAACATATCATCAAGTGCTATAAAAAGGTAATAAAAATACCTAAATTGGTATCGGACTACGAGTAACATATGTACCGTATAGTAAGTTATAACTTCAAGCATAATGTAGTTGAATATCCTATGACCGTATAGTTTAGCTAACTGCCGAGACAAAGGAAAGATGAACAAAGGAGTAGAATTAGATTGAAGAATGCATTTTTTTCTAAGCTTATATCCGAAAATATTAAAACTTAGACGTAAGTGATTTGCGATATATATCGAATGGTACTAAGTTATATTTTAATAATTGTTTTAATGTTCTTCCATGATAAAAATCCTTACAACATTAAGTAGTAACAGGCCAACTTAAATGCGTTCTAAAAAGATATAACTATATATCTTTGCATATAGTTGTCTCTTCAAACAATCGTGCCTAGTGATGTACATTTGACACTTGTTCAGCGTCCTCGTTTCAGGTTCATTTGAAAATATTACATCTGACGCCTCGCAGATGTCACGACAAGTTATATAACATAAAATAGCGCCATATTTCTGAGCAATATGCATTTTCCGTTTTGTTAGAGCTTATAAAATATGGCGGTTGCGAGTTAGAAGATTGATACTATTTTAAATACAGTGAAACATATGATCCTTCTAAATAACAAAGTATTCTTACACTTTATTTAATGTGCACTATAAAATGAGACATTACAACCGCCTGTGTAGCTAAATAGTTACACGTATTGCCTAGCAATGCGTTAAGCACAAGAGATCCTGGGTTCGACTCTTTATTTCCAAAAAATTATAAATTGTTTATAAAATACATTGGACCCTATGGTTATCTAAACTATGACCAGTTAAGTATTAACCATACGTTGCTACCTACGAGCCATTAAAAAACTAAATTAGATTTACAAAACTAGTATGAACCCAAACAATCAGTACATACCAATATTAGATATTATTTTCAATCTTTCTAAAGCCTAAAGAGATCTATCGGAACACACTGCGCAGCGGTACCGCGTTCGTTAATATTTCCGATATTTCATTAAAAACCACACGTCATGCAAACATCAACGGAAGCTAACATTAATGAATGATAGACCGAATTGTTTCGTTTTTATATTCGACTGGAATATGTTGGAAAAATATTATTTGAAAACAAAATCTTTCGCATTAACAATCGGCGCAATAACAATAGAACGGAAATGCATTTTACAAAAAACGGGGTGTATTGTCAAAATTTTTGTGCGCGAAATGTGATTAAAACTACGGTACGATGGCAATATTCGGGACGTTGGTATAGATTTGTGCCAGTTTTAGGGTAAAAACCTACGTATGTTTTTTATGAGGTCAGACAACATCTAATTAAGATCCACTACGACTTTGGGACTTGGAAATTACACACAGTAAAACCCAAAAGCCGATGACGTCACGGCATTTCCTCCAGTGAACAGAGGTTCGTGATCCGGAGAAAATTATCATAATTATAAAGGCGGAGTCTAACAAGTTTAAAGAAAATCTACTACTATTAAACAGAACCCAAGTGACCTAGTTTAAAACTAAAAACTAAATTTATTTTCACTACCAGTTCTCAAATCAAGTGCGCTGAACGAACGAGAGGAACTGGCAAGAAACTTGCCGCCACTCTTGTTATCGCCAAGTTTTATTTTGCAGACTTCTCCTACTTTAAATATACTACATTTTTTTCTTGTTAAAGCAACCCGCTTTCCACTCCTTCCACTCCAAACATTTTTCTAACATTTACATAATATTCCCTTCCAAACAGTTTTTGTTTTAGATACGATTTAAACTTATTGACAGTGCCTGCAACGGGGTTTTATTAAATTGGACATCTTTACACCTATAATACGTCTAATTTACTAGGACTGTATATACTTCAGCATGTTACACAAACAGCTTAATACCTTTTATCGCGTGAGTCGAAGAGTTTAAGTTTGATTGCACAAGATAGATCGAAGGTAAAATAAAAGTTCTTAGTTTTATTGGGCGCTCATTTTATTTTACTGTTTATTTTTTACCATAGTAACGCTACCAAAATGATTGACTATATTCCTTCTCATAACAGCTTACAGTGAAGTTAATAGTAACTTAAAATATGTGTTGTAGCCAACAGCTTCAAATTGATTGACTAATCTTAGTAAAAGCTTTAAAAAATCCAAACGAAAAAATAATATTTAATATGGCGAAATATTATTATTACCTCTCAAAATAAGTTAAAATCTAATATAATATTAAACTAAATTTTTTAAATGAGGACAGACAGCAGGGTTCAATTAAAGGTAGGTGATATACAAACAAAATGCGCTGTCGACCTATTGGCTTTGTATATTAGGAAATCCACAGACTGAAACCGAAACGCGATTAATCTTCACAGCTTTACAGATGGAATCTGTGGTAGTTCGTGACCTGGACGGAATTTCTATATTCCTACCACCCATTTAATATTCAGATTTCGAGACGAAGACTAACATGTTTCAGAAAAAATATTAACTTGATAATTTAGAAACATGGCCGACTCGGTGGGGATCGAACCCACGGCCCGTTTTCGATTCCGATTCGATTAAACATACACTGCTACCATTAGACCAACTAGCTCGTCATAATGTTATCGGTGTAAAAAGATACAAATCAAGTTTATTGCACATTACCTTTATTTAACTAGACGTTCGTATTTATAGCATTGTCGTGTTAGCCATATAATTAGCCAGTTCTAGAAGTAAAACTTGAAAAACATTGTCAACTGCAAATAATGGCCTCTTGTAAAAAAGAGAATTCTAAGCAATTTGCCACAAAAAACTAAAACGGGTCACGGACACTTCAACTTGTTAATCTTAGCTCTGGCCCGGTTAACTAAAATCTTTAGTGAAATTCATTTTCAGTTTTTGAGCCAAAGAAACTTCTGAAATTTCAGCTTTTAAATAGCAGCTCCTTAATTAATAGAACGGTGCTCATTAATTATTTTAAATTAATGAAGGATTATCCTTACTTCGTAAAAAATATAAATCAACAACCGCTTGGAGTTCTGATTACTTGCTTTTGAATCAATCATTCAAAGACTAAAAATATTATAACTTATAATTAACGGTAATTATGTATATCATCTGCATATTAAAGACTATACTAGACTTGACTTAGGTAAATTATTATAGACTATTTACTATACATATTAGTATTTAATATTGTAGCAATTGAAGAACTATATTCACTATATTTAAAAAAATATTGTTAATGTCTAAAGTACTACAAAATTTCTCGCTATTTCATAAAACTATTTTATTAAACCGATTAAAGTGATTTATTATTTTGATTCATATTACTTGCTATTTTTTCGTGTTTTATTGTTTTACTTATTTTTTATTGTGATCCTATTTAAATATAGCTAAGATATAATATGCATGAGAAAGAAAGAAAAAATAGAAGAATGAATGGATCACAAAATACAAAAAAAATGACTCTGTTATCATTTTATATTAATCATGATAATATTTATTCATGAGATCCGTCAATATACGTAATGGAAAAGTAGGTCGTTTTAAGTTTTAGATAAAATATTAGCTAACGACTATCAATGGTTCGAAAAACCAATAACAATCGTCTAGAAAAATTGCTGAAAAGTTTGTGCCTTGGCGTGCGAAGTATTTTTCAGCCTACGGACTGTAGAATGTCGATAGTTAATTGCTATTGTTGGATGCTAACTTGTGCTAGCCAGTCCAGATATACCATGAAAAATATTACATTATTATTTTACTTGTGGTCTTTGTATTACTTACAGTTCGTTATAAATAACATAGTACCTTATAGTTAATTGTCAAAATAAGCTAATCGGTAAAAATAAGACCGGCCTATTTTAAGAGGTTATTTATACTTTATTTATTAATTCAGTATTATTACGTAACATTAATATGTAGATAAGTTAAATAGATTGAAGAAACTAGCTGAGTCCTTACAAATACCAACTATGACAAAACAAGATAGAGACAAAACAGATGGCGCTATCGTAGGTGATTTGACGTTGACATTACGGACACCCTTCATCTTCAGTCCCTTTCTAGTTAAAATTTGAACAAGTAGATTTGTATAGATGAAGATTGGTTTACAGTGATGGTGTTGGGCTATGGGTGTGGGCGGCGCGCGCTGCAACTGGCGGCGCTGGCTGCTTGCATCGTGGTGGGTGCGCTGGCGCCAGAGCGGCTGGAGCCATGTTCTGGAAGCCCCCTGTGTTCCTGCCGAGCGGCCCACATGTCCTGCACCGCTGTACCCTTGCACAGGTTTCCAGGTACTGTAATAGACCCTTCGAATTCTCAAAATCAAATAAAGTCAATTTATGAGAATCTATTGATTGAATTATTTCGCTAAACTCAAGGTTATACAAGATAAAATCGCCTTATCTTAGGAAGGGAATATTCCTACCTTAATCAAGATTATATACAAAATAAAATCAACCTCGATACTGTAAGATGTACATTCCCCATTAACTGGACCAACAAATCGTGAAAATCATTAAAACTGCAGCTACACTATATGATTTAGTTATTCATAGAACTTTGCCAGTTTCCTCCGCTACTAACTCATCACAGTGTAATTAGTAGGCCAGACAGACAAATTGCTAATGCTCAGATATAGTAAAAGCGAAACATTAACAAATACTCAACAGTAATAGTGCAAAGTTAAATCGGGGAACAATATGTTCAGAAATATACTGGAACAAAAACGACAGTGCAGCCATTAAAACAAGCAATAAACGTTGTGTTTGATGACCTAGGCTTACAGGCAAAAGCTTCCCTAAGTAGTGATAAAGAACTAGCCGTCCGCTTACAAAATACAACTGGCATTAATTTCTTTGCCTCGCTCGAAGAAAACATTTGTTCCCCTTTAAATTAGTCTTATTACTTGCAATTCTGTTTACACAAAATAAAACACGAATTTATTTCATTACATTCGCTCCATGAGAGGCTTAACGCGCGATATTACCTTATTTCATATTTATGAATTCGTGAATTTATACGCCATATATTTTAATGAAATGATAAAACTCCCTGTCGATACCTTAAAAACTATAAATAAGCTCTCTCCGCCTGCACTAAAAGCAATTTCCTGTCCTTGTCCACTAATTGATTGACGTAATTGTAATTTTCAGAATGGCCGCGAATAGAACTGCACCATCTAGATATAAGTATGTCAAATTTAGAGATCATAACTGAGAGTGCATTGGACGGATTGCATTTACAGACTTTAGTTTTAGTCGCAAATAAGCTGCATTACATCGAAACGCACGCGTTGAGGTAAATTTATCTAACGTTGTATTACTTTTAGAATATTCGATGTAAATACTAACATATAATTATTTTCAGTTCTATGGCAAGTTCCTTGGCCTCTTTAGACCTTGGATACAACGAATTTACAGAAATACCAGAGCTAGGCTTAAACGATTTGAGGGTATTAAATTGGTTAAATTTACAAAAGTACGTACAAACTTTACTTTTCATTTTTATACTTTTAATATTAATTACATGTTACATTAAGCTTTCTTTTGCAGCAATTTAATTACACGTGTCGAACCAGAAATAAGATGGCACTATTTAGAAGATACCCTAACTAGTTTATCATTAAGCAACAATCAAATATCGCATTTGAAATCTGATGCTTTATCTTCCCTCGGTCACCTGTTGCAGCTAGATTTGGAAGGCAATTACTTACGTAGTATCAGTTATGACTCCTTACCTCCATCCCTTACCGTTCTAAAGTTATCTAATAACTTCTTACACGACCTCCCCTGTGATCTAATCTTTAATCTCCCTAGAATACAAATAGTACACGCGAGACATAATCTCGTTAGCTTTCATACGAATGACACATGCTCACATAATAAGTCAAAGAGATTGGAAAAATTAGATCTAAGCAATAATAAACTGAACGCGGACGTAGAAATCCTACTATTCCGAGAGGTTCAAATAAGACAAATTATTTTAGACCTAAACGATCTGGTCACGATCCCGAAGTCGTTATACACGAACAATCGAATAGAACGCCTGTCAATATCGTACAACAAACTGACGTCAGTGGCGCGCGATGTATTTATATCGTTAAAGAACTCGCTCGAACATTTAGAAATAGAACACAACAAATTGTCCTATTTGCCGGAGAGTCTAGTGCAGGTTTTGCGCTTACGACATTTATCTTTAGCTTACAATGAATTAGAGGAACCGCCTCCTCTGCCCAGCCGTATACAAACGCTCTCGCTAGCCGGAAACTTCCTAACTTCTGTGCCCTCTACGCTCCAAGCGCTCGAGCCGGGGTCCATTCGTTATCTTGACCTTAGCTACAATAAGATATCTAATTTGCTGCCAAATGAATTCCGAGAATGGTCGACTTCCTTGGGGACTATAAACTTGAAGGGTAATAGGATTGCGCAGATAAATAATAATGTGTTTCCGGTGAGCTTACCGGTCAAAGAAATCAATTTGAGTTTTAACGATTTATATTACGTGCATCCACAGGCGTTTTCTAATTTAACTGGCTCTCTGCACGTTCTCGAATCGTCTTCGACGCTCTTTAGTGGTTATTTTCCGATGGAAATTGACGACGGATTTGAAAATCTCAATTGGCTCTCGTTCGACAATAACGATTTTCATATTCTTAAAATAACCGAGCTTGCGGCCTACCCGTATCTGAAATACTTAAATTTGGATTATAATAGAATTGTAGAAATAGCTGTAGATGAACATTCTAGTAATGTGTCGTTGCCCCTCACTAATATACGATTGTCGTATAATTTTTTAAGTTATATTAACAGGTATTCTTTTAGCCAAAGCCCCGAACTGGCGAACTTGGATTTATCTTTTAACAGAATCGGCAACTTGACAAAGTATACCTTTTCAAATCTACCAAATTTACGGTATTTATCTCTCGCGAGCAACATAATCGACTCGATGGAAACAAAGACGTTCGCTAATTTACCCAAACTGGAGATACTGGAGCTTCAGCGTAACAACTTAAGTTATTTGTATCTGAACTCGTTACATAACGTCTCCAACGAACACATAACTTTTACTGTAAACGTAAGCAGAAATATTCTAAGATTTATAGAAGGAGATGTCCCGATTTCCATTCATATTTTTGATGGCTCCTACAATGATTTTTACGAAGTGCCAACAAATTTTTTTATCGCTGTAGAATTTACAATAAGACAAGTTATACTGTCGCATAACAAGATAGCTCATATAGTAAATGAAGCGTTCGGTCAATCCACGTTTTTAGAAATATTGGACTTACATAAAAATAGTATTAGTGTTATAAAGCGAAAATCATTCTCCGATTTAGTCTCCCTACAAATACTGGATCTGTCTTTTAACGCAATATCACAGTTATCTGTCGAGCAATTTTATAATCTGCGAAAATTACGATATTTAAAAATGGACCACAACAACCTAAGACTCCTACCAAGAGACGTATTCAAGAACACAATAATAGAACACTTAGACTTAGGCTTCAATGAGATATCTTTGTTTCCGGTCACAGCACTCTCTCAGATCGGGTTCACGTTGAGACACCTCGATTTTTCCGGTAATCGAATAGAATATTTGGACGGAAACATATTTCGGAACACACAGTTTCTATCGAGCCTCAGCTTAGGAGGCAATCTCCTAACGGTCCTATCAGATAACACGTTTTCCAGTCTCGGTGGCTTACGTCGTTTAGACTTAAGTTTCAACTCTATAAAGGCAAACTTTAAGGAGCTGTTTCACAACCTTCCCAACTTAAGGCATTTGAATCTTGCAAACATAAGTTTAAAGTCAGTGCCTTATTTACCTCTAACGAACTTAACGAGTCTCAATTTGACTTCTAATTACATTAACAGTTTTAAAGAGACTGATGTCAAGCGATTAGTGAACCTGCGACACTTAGACCTTAGCCACAACAGACTTACCTCTCTAGTGCCAAAGATGTGGATCCACATGAAAAACTTAAAGATATTAGATATATCGTTCAATCCCGTAGTGAGGATAACGCCAAACAGTTTCAAGGGCTTGAATAATTTATCTCACTTAAACCTCAACGGTCTGAAGTACATTGATATTATTGACCCAGACTCCTTCCGTCCTTTAACGTCTCTGCGATCCTTGCACCTCCAGACTTGGTCCGCAATAAATCATGCAACTTTCCGCCTCGCGAACATAACTTCTTCGCTCCCTTCGCTGTATAAATTAGTTATACATTGGAAAGATAAAACAATGAACGAGCAGCTGCATGGAATCGATGCGAAAAAGATACGATACTTGGAAATCAGAGGCATCAATTTGGAGAGGATTTATGATGACGCCTTCCAGCCCTTTGCGGGCAGCCAGGAGATATTTATCAAAATAACGGAAACGTCACTGTCGAAGCTCCCTTCAGCATTTATGAAGCACCTCGGGCAAATTCCTCAGCTAGGCATCGACATCAGTTACAATCAAATCGCAAGACTTAATCCGGCTATCTTCTACCCGAATTTTACGAGCTGGAGTCACGTAGCGACAAAATTGCTTTCAGGTACCTATATTGCTGAACTTTGATAACGCTCTATAATGCAAAAATACTAATAATATTTGAACCTAGAAAATATTTAAAAGACGAATTTTAATAGATCAACTGTCTTTTAAATAGATATGATTTATTCATAGTTCTATTGCCTGTCTATAAATATTATCAAAATTTGAATGATTTACATGAGGAAATAACATATTTCTGATTTTAATATGTTTAAAGCTATATTTATAATTAATTTATAACTTTTAAATAAAACACTTTAACGGTTTAAAACGCAATATATTAACTTATTTGAAAAATGATTTTTAAATTCGGTCCGACGTTTCGGATGCTTTGCAGCAGCAGTGGTCACGGGGAGACTAACTAATATATCGCATTTTAAACCGTTAAAGTGTTTTATTTAAATGTGTACTACTCGCGTACCCACGTATTTATATAGATTTCAATTCCAAATTCATTTATTTCATACGCATCTATAAGGATAAAACATAAGTAAACAAAGAAATCTAATAATATAAAGTACTTGGAATAAATACTCTTCTCTATAGAGCAAAGGAAAGTTAATTGAACGGTGCGTCAAAGTTACGGCTAAGCCACTATTTGTTATTAATAAACAGTTCCTATCAACAGATAGGGTATCCTTGTAATGAGTTTTAATTCTTAATAGCCCGACGAAATCCCAAACACGAAAATTGCGTCTGAATAATAAATCAGTAAACCCTTGTCATTCCGTAGGTGGTTTGATTCTCACCGGGAACCCATTACGTTGCGAATGCGGCCTCGCTTGGCTCGGGGCGTGGCTGAGAAGGTGGTTGCAAGAGAATGAAGCCGGGGCTGAACTGCGAAGAGCCGTTCACAGTGCGACCTGCACTGACCAGGCGGGGAGACAGGTACCGTTATTGCAACTACGTGCAGACGAAGCAGAGTGCCACGCTAGTGCACTATCGAGCGACGCTCAACCAAACTTCACTAGTCTCATTTACAAGATAACCTTTAGTCTATGGATCCTGATTCTTAGGTGATAACTTAGACAGACTGTATATAGGAATTTGTAATTTAAGTAGCGAACGGCAACTAATGTAGACCTTGAGTAGATACGATTTAGTAGATAGTTTCGATTGTAAGGCCTTGTAATGTTAGCGGTTTACGAGTAATTAGACAATTTTATACTTGATTGTATAAGTAATAGTACACACAGTTATTGATTTATAATTATTAATCTATTATTAAAGTATATACTATGTTTGTTTGAGACAAATTTTGGACAATTCGATGTTTTGTTGACATTCTATTGGGTAGTTATTCTAAGTGTATAACATTGTTATTCATACTGTTAAAAAAAAATTAATATAAATTGTCGACTCTTCTAAACTCAAAATGTAAATCTTGTACATATGTGAAATAAAATATTTTTCCTAAATCCAAACTTGCTTAATTTTACCGCCTAAATGTAAATGCCACGGCGTTGGTTTCGAATTTAGAACAAATATTTATAGTTTTGTTCAGGCGGGGCACAGTGTGATCAAGTCTATAAGTAAATTTGATCAATGAAACAGATCCAGAAATATATTTGCTTCATTTCCACGTAAGGGAAGACAAATGTAAGAAAATATAATCTTTATTTTCTTCCAATTATATTTCTCATATTTCCAGTCTATTCCGTAATATTGATTCATGGCATAGCTATATAAACATTAAGGTCAACTTTTCCCTTGGGAACTGCAAACTTTACTCAAGCAATGCAGCGATATTAAAACTTCCAATGAACTACTTGAATTGATTGATAAATAAAAATAGCTTTTTTAATAATTCAACGTTTACAAGCTGTATATAAACAATTTAGCTTATATTTCGTTAATGCATTGAAACACTGTTGTTACTTGATAAAAGATGCTATTAGGTCAAAACTATTTTTCATATAGCTTAATTTGTTTTTTCACTCGAGTGATAGCACTTTTGTAATTAGCGTTGAAATAGAATACAGGAAGACATGACACTCACTGAAACTAAAATAAGCAGTGACGTAATTGCGAAGGATTTAGACATTTTAAAAATCGAAAATAAATTGAAAAAACTAAGACTTGAAAAAAACCTGATTACATTACAAACGTTAACAAATAATTACAAAGATTTGTTAACATTTGAAAACAAAAATAAATGTAGACATGTTTTTTTATAAATAAGTACAGTTACTAAAAGCCACTATAATAATTTTACGACTAATAAACTGACTGTCTGATTATAAAGAAATAAGAAAACAGATTTCACAAAGCAAACTAGCGCAGTTATTCAAATTAGCAACTAACAACCAACTATTAGAATGACGCGGTGACAATGCAAAAATAAATGAAAGTAGTCGTGGAAAGTTCCATTTCCGGTCTAGTTTGTTTTGTGCCGATCGCGACTATGCCGCTTGTTGCTAATGCCCCGGGATTAATTTAATTGGGCCAGTTTTGCTAACTTTTGTTTTTGTTTCGGATAACAGATCGTGGTAATGGCTATTTTAACAATGTTTAATTTGCTAGACATTTACATACCGAATGCGGTGATGTCTGGAGCTACTTTTAAAGCTCATTTAAATTTTAATGAATGGAGAGAGAAACGCCATTGGACTGGACGTGGCAGACATTTTCTCGAGTGTATGTATACAAATAATCTGCTCAACGCTCGTTTTAACTGATTAAGTAACTTGTACGTTTTAACAGTAATTTATTCATACTCGTAAATGTTTTACAAGTTCATTATTTTTTCGAAGAATGGTACGCGAGGCAATAGGGATGATATTATGATGGCTTCAAGATATCTAACTCCTGTGGTAATATTAAAAACACTAGATTCCAAAAATCGGCATACCGAGAAACGAGAGGACACCGTGAGTTAGTTCTGTATGGACCAAGCTAACTCCAAGTACGAACTACAAGGAAACAAATGGCGCTAGCAGACTTTGACATCATAGACACCCACCATTTTCATGTGATCACGGCTGTTACAAAGCATCCGAACTTCAGGCCTTAGTTAAAATACTGTTGTAAATGAGTTAACTACAACATTTGGCGTTTTAAACCGTCAAAAGTATTTTATTTAAATGCTAACACTTGCGTCAACTACAGACATTACTTGACAATGAATTGTCTTAGTAAAACCATTATAGGAGCGTGTCATCTATTAATATACATTTGGAGAATGTAGTAGACTAAATCCTGAATTGTATGAGTCCAAACTGTGGAAACTATTGAAGATATAATGTATGCCACTGAATTTCAATTCAAGTAAACCCAACGTTGTAAGAACTCGCATCTTAATAAAAATATAAAAATCCCTTTTATCGTTAAATAATGACTCTTAATTTAAAAATTATGAAAGTGTTGCCCGTTTAATACAAAACTACCTCGTAAAACGGGTTAAGAACCTTTTGCGTCAACCCCCAGGTTTATAAGAATGCAAATTCATGCTCACGAAGGGTTTTAATTGAAAAGCCTACGTTTGACGGCACGATACACAAAGAGCAAACTAAATTACTTCAGAAATTGTAGGTGTTTAGCGGTTCGACTTTAATCGTCCTAAATTTTGTGCACGGAATCTGATCCTATTGTCTTTCTATGAGCTAATAAACATGATAAAAGATAAAGGATTGGCCTAAGTAATTTCTGCAAAGGTCAAGCGCCAGAAGTTTGTGACCTTAATTAAGAAAAGATATAAAGGACAATATTAATATAAATCTTCAAGCGCCGTGGTTGTTTAGTTAATACTTACCTACGTCCTACTTTTATCATCAAGTCGAGAGCTCGTCGCTCACTGTGCGTAAAAATATATATGTTCGTATTAAATAGAATTTGAACAATTTTATAAAGCCTGTACCACATTTATCCAGCATGGTACATTAGGACGCCTGGACGGTAAGATGTCTAAGAACTATTAAATAGTTAATAACGTTTACTATCCTACTGTTACTTCACAGATAACAATCAGTTTTGTTTAATCTGTGGTTGAAAATCATCTACCAACATTTAAATAGCAACAGTGGCCGTTTGGCCCCCGGAGTAATAAATAAAATATCATTGTTCCGATCGTTTAATTTGCATACATTATGCGACAATGCCTAATACCAAAGGACCACAAATGCTATTTATCATAGTACTATTATGATATCAGATAATACCATATTTCCATAACGAAACTGGGACATGAAAGCTTTTCGTGAGCTGACTTTGACTCCCAGGTCTATTCATGTTTAAATAAAACACTTTAACGGTTTAAAACTCGATATAATAGTTAAACTTATTTGAAAATGATTTTTCACTTCGGCTCGACGTTTTGGATGCTTTGCAGCAGCCGTGGTCACGGGGTGACGTCGACCGATGTTAAAAATCATTTTCACATAAGTTTAACTATTATATCGAGTTTTGAACCGTTAAAGTGTTTTATTTAAACATGAATAGACCTGGGAGTCAAAGTCAGCTCACGAATATATCGCGTTTTAAACCGTTAAAGTGTTTTATTTAAATGTGTACTACTCTATTCTTGTTTATAATTATACATGTTAATGAGATATTTGATGCAGGTTACGTCAAAACGAATTCACCGATTACGATAAGTTGGATGTCTTGTTGGTACAGTACTTTTTAAAATGATAACTTATCCCACTTGGTGTGGTAAAATATATAAAGTGGTACAAATGTAATAGAGGTGTAATAAGAACTTGTCCCAACACTCTCAACGGCTTAAATTTCAAGTTTGATATTATCCCTGACCCACTGCGAGGATCACCGGAGTGCGCGTCTAGTTATCAATAAATATAACCAACAGGTTCGAGACAAATCTGGAGAACCAAATATTACATGTACATAAAAACACTTCTATAAGAAAATTACGTAAACATCAAGGCACAAAATACCGTTCCGAATTTAAACTGTTTCGGGTTTTTCATTTCGAAAGTATTAAAAAGATAAACTTTGTAGGTAATACAAAATAAGGCGAGACTTTTCCGTAACCGACTTTTCCAACTGTTTAAATAGTTTCAGTGTTTTAAGTGCTCTGTTTTTAATGAGGTAATCTCGAAGTATTTAAGTGTTTCTGAGTAGGTAAGCCAGACTCATTGCGAGTTAAATGAAGTGAAAGGACTGTATATGCACAATTTACTGTTTCAACTTAGGCACTAGACTAGACTTTGGACTAGTTGGTGTAACTGTAGCAATATATAATTAATAGTCAACGGGTTCGATCCCAACCGGTCAAACATTTTTCAAATCAATATATAATTTTTATGAAACATGTTTCACTTCGTCTGTAAATCTAGATTTTAGTGGACGGTAAATGTCTCCCCGTGACCACGGCTACTGCAAAGCACCCGAAACGTCGGGCCGTAGTTAAAAATATTTTCAAATAAGTTTAACTAATATATATCGCGTTTTAAACCGTTAAAATGTTTTTTTTTTAGTTTTTTAAGTTGTTTTATTTAAATACGTTAAGTAATAATATTTTTTTTTCATTAAGTTTTGTTTTAGTTATTAATAAAACAAAAATACGTTTAATTTTGTTTTGGCACGCACTACTTTATTACCTTCAATCTTATTAGCAATGTCAAAAAATATGTAAAATATATCTTACTACACATACTCGGCTGCAAACATTTTATATGCTTAGCAAAATTAAAATCAAGTATTTTGAACGAATTCATGGTTCAAAATATTTGTGAAAACATTGACAAAAACCCGTAATTTGTGGATATCCGATTATTCGAACGCAAAAAAGATCGACAACACATTTTATTATTTAGCTGGGGTTTCAACTGCCGTCAAAAGATCCCCACGCTTGTCTCCCCTACTCTTACATAAAAAAAAATAGTTGCTGACGCTACCTCACTGGAAAAGACAGCGCAGACGTCAGCTTTCATTCCATTCAAGTAACAAACACGAAACTGTTAAATATATGCAAGTTCAGAATAGTTAACATGTTTCTTTCTTAATAAGGTTCAAAATAGAGAGAAAAGTGTGACCTGTACTATCACACACGGCTCTGCAAT